TAGAGAGAGAGAGAGAAAGAAAGAGATAGAAATTATGTACATAGAAATCGACACAACATGTTTCACTACTCGGCGCGTCGACTGTTTATATATAGAGAGCTGGGATGGTAAGTTGTCGTACATCAATCCATTCCTGATCTTTTCTTTGTCATTAATGTTATAGTTTATTTATAGTCACATTCTTTTGTGTATTCATTTATTTATCTCTAGTTTTTTTTATCTATTTATTTTATTTGTTATATATTGATGCTCACCCGATTCAAATCCCAAGAGACACTCAAGCTGGAGCGTTACTCTACTGTGTGGTATGAACCTAAGAAAAGTCAATATTGTTAAGATTTATCTATTTATTTATTGGATATATTTTTTGCGTATTTTATTAGGTTTTGAACATTGTTATTTAAATGAAAGATTATGTGGTGGAGTGTAATTTAGTGTTTTGAAATGTAATACAGTTGTAGATAGATGTCTATATCGACAAATTAAACGCTAAGTCTAATAACAAGAACTCTTTCCCGATGAAATAATATAATTATAGGTACAAATATATTGTTTCAAATTTAGATATAAATTTCGTAAATAAAACGTAAAGCTATTTACTGAATTTTAATCTAAAATTTGGACACGAGAATACGAAAATATGTGATTAATTACATTGACAAGAAAGGAGATCGTGTTGAAAACAAATATTTGTTGTCTATAAATAAATGTTTTTTTAACCATCAGGTGACAGATTTAGTGATGAAATTATGCACATACATGTGTATATATTAGGTAAAGTCATAAATTATTACCGTTTTTTATCAAATTTATTCTAGAAATTGTTGCAACTGTTACTTCAAAACAGAAAGTAATTATTACACACACAGAAGCACACACAGAAACACACACACACACACGTACTGTGTTTGGAAAATTAAACTACACAGTTTATGTGCAGAAAAGGAGAAAGTTATAAAAGTAAAAAAAAAAGTACCTTGTCACATGTTTTTAATATATATACATACATACATACATACACACTCACACAAACGCACACACTCACACCCACAAAAAACAATATATATATATATATATATATATATATATATATATATATATATATATACAGTAAGTATTCATATTTAGGCAGTAAGTATTCGTCCGAACAAGTTTAATTAAAATAAACCGATAAGATCTGTCTGTTTATTTATCGCATTTTTTCGAAAAAGGTATTGAGATTTGTGCTCAAGTTTGTGTATAAACTGGTCGATGTTAATATATATATATATATATATATATATATATATATATATATATATATATATATATATATCTTAGTATCCGCTAAAAATAACGTTCATATAATAATAATAATAATAGTAATTATATAAATATATATATAAAAATATATGAAAAAGTGCTCCATATCAGTGATATATATATATATATATATATATATATATATATATATATATATATATATATATATATATATATATATATATATATATATATATATATATATATATATATGGGTATCGACTAAAAATGTTGATGTAATGTTGATTGATTCAAACCGCTGTGCCTGATTCTGTGCAACACCGCCATGTGCCTTTTCAGTCCCAAGCTGGTTTTGCATACCTTGTCACATAGCGTGCAGGCTGTAATACTCTGTGTCTATTGAATGTCAAGGGTGATTTTTTTCTGTATGTGATTTCACATGATTCACGAAGCCAACCTTTGAATGAAGTATGCGTATGTATATATATATACACACACACACATATATATATATATATAGCCTGACCTGCTGGACCATTTAGCTTCAAAGGAAGCGTGTGGCCGAATTACTGTTTTTAAAGTACAAATTTCCTATGATTTCTCCCCAACGCTCGAAGCATATCTGAACGTAAATTTAGTTTATTTCATAATATATGGCGTCATTTTTTAGGTTATGATACGCTTCAAGCAGATATACAACCAAACGCTTCCTACACACACACACACATGTGTGTATATATATATATATATATATATATATATATATATATATACAACTTTCATTGAATGTGATGGACAAGGAAAATGTTTTTCTAATGTCTATCGAGAATGTAAAAACAAACTGCAAGGCCATTAAAAAAAAAAAACTCTAAAAATTTCGCTTTACTCTGACAGTCACAGTCAATAAACCCTGTACAAAAAACAGTAAGGTTGCTGTCCGAAAAATATATACAAATAGAAAGTTAACTTCAAAATTTGTTGTGGCACACGCACACACACACACACGTGTACACATACACACACTTATATGTATAAATAGAAATATATACAAAAAACTATCTGCTTATCTATCTATTTCATTCTTCATATCTATCTATCTATCTATCTACAGGATGCAATGGGTAAATTTAAATCCATTTTGTTTGATTTTGATTTTATCGACTGGATATATTGCGATGTCAGTTGGGTTGGGTACCGTCTTTGAAAGAGAGAACCATGACGTTTTCAACTTCAGCAA